TAATGTGTAAGAAATCAGGAATCAAAAGGAGATGGAAGGGGGCCTGGCCCCCCGGCCTGCCCCCTCCTCCTGCAGAGGAGAGCGGGGCCCTCCTGCCCCAGGCCCTGGGCTGTGTCGTGGTGCAGAGGAGGGTGGGGCTTGGCTAGAATTTGGGGGCGGCTGGGCACGGGGAGGGGAGGGCAGGGCGCTGAAACCCAGTGCCTTGCGTGTGCCCAGCACCAGGCCGCAGCCTGCAGTGCCCCGGGCCGTGTTCATCTCCCGGAGGGTGGGGGTTGGAGACAGCTGCGCCCCTGGGCACTGGCCCCTCCCCACCAGGGGCTGTTTCACAGGCTGTTCCATCGTTTACATTCGTCCCCGTTTGGCAGGATACTGGGACAGAGACCGGACACCGAGGCCACAATCAGGAAGCAGCGCGGGCGCCGGCACCAGCTCAGCGGATTCCCATCCAGAGGCTGAGCCTGATCCCTTTCATACACGTCTTCCACTTCCTCACGTTCTCTCTGCGTGAGGAAAGTGTGTTCTGATTGGTCGGTGGGCCGTAAGGGAAGTGAGTGACCAGGGCTGGCGGTCTATGCCATGTCAGCTGTGACACTGAAAAGTCCCTTACCTGTTACAGGAAGGGAAGAGAACAACCTTCAACCGCTAGAGGAAACAGCTCGGCCTCCGCTACCACGTTCCCCGCTTTGATGCTCGGGTCCAAGATTGGGTCAGAGAGCATCATCTTCACCCTGTTCTTGGTCTAAAGGCTGGTATTTCCATACTGTATGACCTGACTACCTATCCTGATTCCCCCTTTACATTTATAGTCTCAGGGGTCACAAACAGCTGTCTGGATGGCCATCTTGGTGGGGTGTCGCCGTCCTCAGGTTTCTGCCGTGCGTGGATTGGCCAGCTTCCGTGTGACCAAAGCGGGGCCGATGTTCTTTCGATCTGCACGTCCAGTCGACATCTTCCGGACGGTTAGTCCGAGGGGCTCGGTGGAGTCTGCAATGCTGTCCCAGTCTGTGGCCGCGGGCTTAAGCCTGCTGTGGTGAATCCAAGGCATTATCTCGGCAAGCTTTACCACAGTGGGGGTGGACAGGATTACGGCGAGTGGGCCCCTCCAAGGAGGCTCTGAGAGCTGGATATTCCATTCCTTGGCCCACATCAAATCTGGCCTAAGGAAATGGGCCTCAGTAGTCAGACTAACAAGCAGCCTCTCCCTAACCCAGTGGTCAAGAGCCTGCGAAGTGGTACCCAGGGCTTGTAACTTCTGTCTGAGTCAAGTCGCCTGTTTCCTTGAGGTCTCCTCGTAGTCCCTTGATGAGTGGCGGTGGCCGCCCATACAGGATCTCATAGGGGGAGAGCCCAGTCTTCTCGGCTGGGGCCGACCTGATTCTTAATATTCCCATGGGGAGGACTTTGTCCCCAAGAAGATGCGTCTCCTGACATAGTTTTCCCAACTGAGTCTTAAAGATCCCGTTCATGTGTTCCACCTGTCCTGAACTCTGTGGTTGGTAGGCGGTACGCGATTTCCGTCTAATATTTAAATTCTTGGCTAGAAGCTACACTGTTTCTGCTACAAAGGCTGGTCCGTTATGTGAGCCGATGGTAATTGGTAGCAGTCTGGCTACTTCTCGGGCCTTGTCAGTCCGGGTGGGGTAAGCTCTACCCGACCAGAATATGAGCACACAAGGACCACGAGCTACCCGTGTCCCCGGGATCGGGGCGTCTCAGTGAGGTCTACTTCCAGGTCCTCAAAAGGTGTTCCTCCCACACCGTGGACTCCCGGAGGGGCCCGGGGCCCCCATCGTGCGCTGTTTCAAGCTCATACCTCGCATCGTTCACACACTACTCGGGAGCTGCCAGAGAGCTGGGGGATGCAGAAATCCCGGCCCAATGTGGGTCTTCTGATAGAACTGTCCGAAAAGGCTGAGGCCAGGGCCTCGGGAACTGCTATTCCCTTGTCCTCAAACGTCCACATTTTCAGTCGTAAAGCAGGCATCCTCATGCTGTGAGCACTTAGGGTCCCACTCCGCTCAGGGACTGGGGAACAGGGCGGCGGGCAGAGTTGGTTCTGTTACCTTCTCGGAGATCACGAGCTTTGCTTCGCGATCCGCTTTGCGGTTTCCCTGAGCGGTCACAGTGTCTCCTGTTTTGATGTCCCCGGCAATGCCTGATGGCTACTCTCTTAGGGGCCCATACAGCATCTAGGAGCTCAAGGACCTCTTTTCCATACTTTATGTCTTTCCCCTCTGAGTTGATGAGGCCTTTCTCCTTAACTAAGGCCCTATGTACATGGAGAGTGGTAAAGGCATATTTGGAGTCAGTAGATATATCGTCGTGTACTTCTGCCGCCAGCTGGAGGGCGCAGGTCAGTGCAATGAGCTCTGCTTTCTGGGCAGAGGTTCCCCTAGGCAGAGATTTCGTCCAAGTTAGTTGGCCTGTGTTCCATTCTCAGGATTTTCCCACTGGAAGGCGAAGATCGGCTGGCTCTGAGGGGCCAGGCGTGTGAAGAAAAAGGCATCCTTCAGATCCGGACGTGAGACCTGTTTCTCACGTATGGGCTCTGTTCCTGGTCTGAGCTCTACCAGTACTGGGGGAACATTCCGGGCTAGTCCAGGGGGATTGTCTTCAGCCCATACCCCAGGTATTTCGAAGGGGCGCTCAGGTCTCGGTTGTGGCCTTCCTACGAGACTGTGGAGGCACCTTTCCTCTCCTTGGGGCACCGTGAGCGTCATGATCCTTGCTTCTGGTTTCCCCAGGGTTAGGGCTACTTGGCCATGGGAGGTGAAGGTTATCTGGGACTCGTGAATGACCTTGTGGCCTCCCAGATGGCATTGTTGGGGCAGTGGGAAATGGCGACAAGTCTGGCTGCCCGTAGCCCCCAAAATGGTGACCTCTCTGTGTGAAAGGGGCCTATGAGTTGAGTCACCACAGAGTGTTCTGCCCCCGTGTCTACCATGATGTCAGTGGCTTGGGCCCCGGGGCTCCTGGGGACCTAACAGAATGGAGCCCGGTCTGGCCTGCTCTTCTCTGTAGTCTCCCAGGGCATCTTCTGGGGTCTCGGGTGGTCGCCGTGTCGGCTGGCACCATCCTTGGAACATGTGGCCGCCGCCTCTTGGGCCTGGAGTGGGCTGGTAACTGCCCAGTCATTGGGGACACTCATTTTTCCAGTGACCCTTTTGGTGGCTACGAGCGCACTGGTCCCACCCCAGCCTCATTTCTGGGTGAGCTGGTTCTTCCGGTCACCTTTTCCTCTGTCCCCGGCCCAGCCCGTCGGGGCGCCTCTCCGGGAGTGTCCTGATCGTTCCGCCACGGTCCGGCTGCCTCCCGTCGGGCGTCTTGGTCTCGGCGGCCACTTCCGTTGCCACCTCTAACAACTGGCCGGCGTTCCTGCCGGCAAAGCCCTCCAATTTTCGCAGTTTGTGCCCGATGTCCCCTTGGCCCGACCGACAAAAGCTACATTAACCGTCTTCTGGTCTTCGGCCGCCTCTGGGTCATAGGGGGTGCGAAGGCGAAATGCCTCACACGGCCTCTCTGGAACTGGCGTGAGCTTTCCCTGGGTCCCTGGAGGACCTCTGAGGTCTCACTCCTATTCACGGCTTTCTTCCCTCCTTTCAGACCACCTAGGAGGGCCTCCTGATAGCGCTTGAGCATCTGGGGTCCCCTGTCCTCACTGGGGGCCCATCGGAAGTCCTCCTTGGGGAACTGGTTTTGGGCATAGGCCCGAGTGTTTAAGGTCCCTGCTGGGGACACAAAGGTGCATCGGCCACCCTGTATGTGGCCATCCTGGTCATCGAATATGGGCCCTGTGTTTCACGCAGGGGCGATTGGAGGGCTTCTCCTCCAGAGACTGCTGCTTTGGGTTGGGTTCCGGTCGGGCCATGGGGGTCAGGACAGGAGGTGGCAGAGAATCTACAGAGGTCATCGAGGACGAAGTGTCCGTAGATTCCAGGCTGTTTTCACATGGACTTGGGGACAAGGGTCGCAGGGGCGTAGCCGGCTGCTCCGGAGCCCTTGGCAGGGGTGGAGAGGGAGTAGAT